AAACATATGGTGGTACTTCCTCCTGGTCTCCGCCATCCAGGGAACAGGAATTTTGGGGTTCATAGCTCCAAAAATTATCTTGAGTAGTTAAAAGTCTTCACAAGCTCAAAACTGGCTGTTCTAGACTCCTTCTGGGGAGAGCAATGGAAACTGCCCAATGCCGTAACTCAGGAGTTAAGGCTTTGCCATTTTACAATGGCGGCTCATGTTCAATCCTGGCTTAGAGAATGAGTCCTTTCTGGTTTGATATCTGCGTAACCTTGATCATTTGGTTATTCTCTTCCCCTCCACAAACCATCTTGAATTTTTCTTTCTCTGAGCACGGAAATACTGGCTTTTTGGCCTGGCTAATGCTGGGTAATAAGAAATTTAAAAGGACTTTTTAAAAAGAACACTATGCACTGTGGTGAAAAGTCAGCTTAATGAAAAGTGGATATTCACACTCTAACAGTCTGGGACCCCTTGGGAAAAACAGGAGACACCACAGACCCTGTTTTGGGAAAAACCTCAGTTTTCCTCATGAAACTTCAGGATTGAAAGCAGATAAATCCTTCTCAAAATCTAAGGCTCTGTTCCGTTTTGCATTGCATTATCTGATAGTTTTAACTTTTTGGAGTATCAGAAATTACTTTGTATTATAAGAGAGATTCGATGTGTAATAACTAGGTAGGGAATATACTTTTAGGGCTAGCTAATGGCAGTTATGGGGGAATACTCAGCTCTGCATGTTTGGATCAGAGAAGCATGCTCTTGGCCACCTAGCAAGTATGGAGATGTCCCTACCCCTCACTGAGAAATAAGACTCTCATGGGGATGGGCTGATTCCTCTTTTCGGAATTCAGGATCTGGTATAAAAATGGGACCCTTAATATTGGGTGATCTGTTTTGCCTTCTAGTTGTGCCTGCTTATTAGGCCATAGAAACGATATGCTTTCCTCGCCCTGTTCCTCCAAGGGCTCCAATCCAAAATCAGTAATCCAACTTAAAAAGTGACAAATGAAAAATCTTACAAGTACTAAATCTTCTTCTGTCTGTGTATTTATATGTGTTTATGTGTGATATGAAAGATCTTTAATCAACTGGCTTAAAAAATAAGAGCTCCTTAGGGCCTCATCCGTGCAAATAATGGACACTTTTAAGCAACGCGATCTAGATGTTAATATGAACATGCTCCATAGTTTTATGGGTTTCATATTGTTTTGCAATTGCAAACATAATCCCAAGTGGGTATTGTAGAGTGTCACAAATGAGTGGCAATCCTGTGGAATCAACTTCATGTTCATTTTCTAACTCAGAATTTTATAATCTAATTAAGTGTTCTCATTACTAAAGTTGGAAGTGTAAACAGGTAAAAAAAAAATAGGAGCTTAACTAAAATATTTTATCAGAAAAATAAAAAGTGTAACGTCTTTTAGTTCATGTAACTTAAGTAAGCTTTGGAAAATAAAGGCAGTTTTAAAGATTATTGGTAAAATAAAAATATCTTCAAAATTTAGACATTTCATTTAAATTAGGCAGGTCAGATATTAAGTTTTTCAAATGCTTTAAAGTCATAAAATGCTTCTTTGGCTTTTGAAAATTGTTCAATTTACCTAATTTGGAGCATTAGATTCTAGATAAGGCCTGGGGACATGTGGAGAGCCATGCCCCCTAGCTATGCTGAAAATAGTCAGCCCTTATCTGCACTTCTGTCTGGGTCCTAGGTTCCACATCTAGTACATAATTAAAATCCCTTATTTACCAACTTTTTTCAAAAATAAAAGTTGCTAAGAGTTAACATTGTAATATGTAACTGAGACTACTGGAGAAACAGTTTTACATGCAAGGTGTGTAAGAAAAGTGAAATCTGTTTTGGTAAAAGATTATAAGAAGGCATGGAAATGTAGTTTTTCTGCCTAGATTAAAGGGTTAAAGGGTTGTGTCAATTAGATAGGGTAAAGCTGAAGGTTTAAGCCCGTTTTGGAAGATTTGTGAAAAATTAATGTGTAAGAGAATTTCTGTGTGAGAACATATTGGCTAAAGTTAAAGAAGTATTATTCAGTTTTTTCATAAAGTGAGCATTGAAATAAAAGCACAACAGGTTTTCCATAGAGCACTGATCTGCTCTTCAACAAAATTTTGTAAAGGGTTATAAAAGATTTATGAGCATCTTACCTTATGGTCAAACTGATTAAACTGGATAGGTTTGTCTATAAGGTTTTATTAAGAATTGGGTTAACATCAATAATGCACTGATGCAAAGGTGAAATTGGGCTCATTTGGTATAAAAGTCATACAGGAAGCATTGTCAAATATGAAATGATGTTTGGCTTTCTTTGGGCTGTATTTGTATAAATATGGAATTGGTATGTGTTCCAAAATTATGGAAAACTCCTATAATTCTAATATCACTTAGGGTATGATATCAATAACTATACTTATTATGTAAAATTGTTGTACACCACAGAAGTGACAAAAATTTCTTTGTCAATTGTGGCTTTAATAGTGGCTGTCCTAAAACTTTTTGTCATCTACTGACAATTGTCTTATTTTGGTCCTCTTCAAAAGGTGGTTTTATAATCAGTTATAGGAATTTTACAGGTGCTCTCGAATGCAGGTTTCTGATAACTTTGGAGATTGTGACCTAGCATAGAGGAAAAAACTTTCAGGATTCATGGAAAGCTAAAACGTTCATGAATATCAAGCAGAACAGGAGCTAACTGCGTGAACTGCATTAATAGAAGACTGAAGTAATCTTTTTGACTTTTTGCTTAAAATGTTCCTGATGCTTCCTTTTGTTTTTGAATTAAGGAAACTTTTCTTTTGAGCTATTTACAGCTTTTAACAATTGAGAGAAGTATACTTCTGTGAACAAAATTTGGAGCATATTTGTTTCTCTCTACCTGATTTCTCCAAAATTTGGAAACTATTAGTTAGCATTCTTAATTTATGGCAGTATAGTTGTTTGCATAAGTGCAATAAGAATCTGTTTTCCTTCATAACAGTACACAATTGGAGAAACTGGTTATTTTAACAAGGCTTTGACTGGAATGGCGTGCTTTCCTTTAGGGAATCAAACTTGACTTGCAGAGCCAATAAAAGCCCTTTGGGAAAACTGGCCTCATACCTTGTCTCCACAGTTCCTGTACAGGGTTCCTGACCTGTGGTAAGTAAAAAATGTTACTTTCTGACAGGCCCAGGAGCCCCAAGTTATCTTGGGACTTCAAGAGGAGAGGAATTTATCCAACTCATAGGTATTTGATGGTACAAATCCATGGCTGGGCTCAGCTTTAAAAAAAAAAAAAAGTCTTATCAGAGATTGCTTCCATGGAACAAGGTTCCATCAAAGCCAATTTTAAAAGCCTATGTAAAAAATTATTCTTGCTGTACTTTGTACAATCAGGCTAAGTATAATAAAGGAAATTGGTCTTACCATGATTTGTCTTTAGTAAAAATGGGAGACTGAAGAGAGAAAAAACTGTATTTGAAGAACTATGGTACACCTGTTAGATTCTAGTCTCATCAGTTGTTTTTGAGTTTGTTCTTCCTGCAATTTAGACTGACCCTGCTTATTTCTGTGAACCAACCAGTGATATCTGGCTACTGCTCAGAAGAAACAGAGGGATGGGTAATGTAAGAATCTGGATCAATATTCTAATTCTCAGCATATTGGAATCAGCTTGTGACCCCATATCAGCTTGGTTCCAACAGCTGTCCAGTTCATAGAAAGCCTTCTAATTTAGTTTACTTGGAATAATTTTGCTTATTTTGCTTTACTGTTGTGAAATATGTTGCTGTTGTGCTCTTTGTGTAAGAATGCAGGATAAGCTTAATGAATGTTTTCCTAAACTATACATTTATTAATCCAGATATCACCTTTCATTGGAGTTATGTATAGCCCTCACCATACTGATGATTTCTGACTAAGCTCCTCTCTACCTTGAATACAAGATACCCTAATAGTTAGGCAGGAATATCATTGCCCCTATTCAGCCTAAATAAGTTACAGAAGATGGATCTTTGTCTGTCTACAACCATTAGGATTAAGAGTTTTCTTATAAAAGGAAGGGGGGAAATATGTCAGAGTTGTTTGAACCAGCATGACTCCATCTTGAATAGGGGCTGGATAAAATAAGGCTGACACCTGCTGGGCTGCATTCCCAGTAAGTTAAGGCATTTTTAGTCACAGGATGAGACAGGAGGTCAGCACAAGATACAGGTAATCAAGACCTTGCTGTTAAAACCGTTTGCAGTAAAGAAGCCAGCTAAAACCCACCAAAACCAAGATGGCAACAAGTGGTTATCCTCACTACCACACTCTCACCAGCGCCATGACAATTTACAAATGCCATGGCAATGTCAAGAAGTTATCCTACATGGTTTAAAAAAGAGAGGAACCCTCAGTTCTGGGAATTGTCCATCTCTTTTCCAGAAAACTCATGAGTAATCCACCCCTTGTTTAGTATAAAATCAAGAAATAACCATAAAAGTGGACTACCAGCAGCCCTCAAGTGACCTGCCCACCTTGGCCTCCCAAAGTGCTGAGATTACAGGTATGAGCCACCACGCTTTGCCTAGACACTGTTAAAATTGCAGTTGAACTTCAAACAATGTGGGGACTAGGGATGCTGACCCCTGTAGAGTTGAAAATCCGAATATAACTTTTGACTCCCTGAAAACTTAATCACTAATAGCCTACTGTTGATCAGAAGCCTTACTGATAACATAGTCAATTAATACATATTGTGGGTTTTATATGTGTTATATACTGTATTCTTACAATACAGTAAGCTAGAGAAAAGAAATGTTACTAGGTAAATCATAAGGAAGAAAAATATAGATTTAAGATTCATTAAGTGGAAGTGAATCACCATAAAGGTCTTCATCCTCATGGTCTTCACACTGAGTAGGCTGACAGGGAGGAGGAAGAGGAGGGGTGGGTCTTGTTGTCTCAGGGGTGGCAGAAGTAGAAGAAGTAAAGGAGGAGGAAAAGGGGCAGGAGAAGCAAGGACACTTGGTGTAAATTTATGTAAATATATTGTAATTTTTGTCTCACTTTTTTGCTTTTACATTTCTCTAAAAATGTCTCTATATGGTACCAAGTCTTCTTCCACTGTTTGCTTTAGTCTCAGGGCTCATATCATAGACAGGTCCATGTTGTAAAAGAAGTAAAACAGTATTGAATAATCAGAACTCTTCGGTCAGAATGTCTAATGTCCATTGTTTTGTGGCACTGGCTCTTCTATGTCTTTTTCCTCATCATCTGGCATTGGTTCAGAAGCACTCCTCTCCAAGTCGTCTTTTGTTCATTCCTCTGTTAGCTTTTTTGTTGTTGTTGCTTTCAGGTTTTTGGGAAAGATCTGATTTTAGCTGAAAAAGCAGAGGAAACCCCAGACATTGCCCTGTTTTAGACGTTAGCCCTATCATTCTCGTGAGCCTCAGTTTTACTCGGTGCAGACCCTAAGGTCCTTCTCACCCGCGCGAGACACCTGTTAGGGTGAGGTGAGAAATCAGCTGGGGGGAGCAGAGCCACTTATGGCCAAGTGGAATCGTTCCAAGGGGTTGTTTAGTAAGCAGGAGGGTTAAAGGGCAGAAGAAAACTATGCACAGGGGTTGAGCACCTCCAGCCAAAGAAGGCGAGGCATACAGATATCTTACCACTAGGGAACATAGCCCAGTCTGAGTCACATGGCACTATATGTTACGGGTGGTGAATTCCTATCCATAAGAGTCTGCAGCAACCTCAATTCTTGCCTCCTCAGAGGAAAGAATTCAACTGAGGGGCATAATGCAGAAGGAGAGACTGCGGCAAGTTTTAGAGCGGGAGTGAAAGTTTATTAAAAAGCTTTAGAGCGGAAATGAAAGGAAGGAAAGTACACTTGGAAAAGGGTCAAGCAGATGCTTCAAAAGCGAGCTCCTAAATTTTTCGAAGATCCATATCTTGAAACCCTTCAACCCCCACCACCACCTTTCTTGCCATATTCACAATATCAATCATGAGTTTCTTTTCTTTTCTTTTTTTTTTTTTTTTTAGACAGTCTCGCTCTGTCACCCAGGCTGGAGTGCACTGGTGTGATCTTGGCTCACGTCAACCTCCACCTCCCGGGTTCAAGCGATTCTCCTGCCTCAGCCTCCTGGGTAACTGGGATTACAAGTGTGCATCACCACGCCCCGCTAATTTTCTTTGTGTTTTGAGTAGAGGTGGGGTTTTGCCATGTTGGTCAGGCTGGTCTCTAGCGCCTGACCTCAAGTGATCTGCCTGCCTCAGCCTTCCAAAGTCCTGGGATTACAGGTGTGAGCCACCGCACCCAACCCATTCATGATTTTCTTGATTGGACCTGTTATAAATTCTATGAAGCCATGAAGTCATGCACAACATCCGGACACAGTTTTCTCCAGCAGGAATTTATTGTTTTAAGCATGATGTCTTTCACAGCTTTTTCTATAATAACAATGGCATCTTCAATGGTGTAATCTTTCTAGACTTTGTCTTTTTTTTTTTTTTTTTGAGACAAAGTCTCGCTCTATGCCAAGTTGGAGTGCAGTGGCACGATTTTGGCTCACTGCAACCTCCGCCTCCTGGGTTCAATTGATTCTCCTTCCCCAGCCTCCCAAGTAACTGGAACGACAGGCGTGCACAACCATGCCCAACTAATTTTTGTATTCTTAGTAGAGATGGGGTTTCACCATGTTGGCCAGGATGGTCTCGATCTCTTGACCTCGTGATCTGCCTACATCAGCCTCCCAAAGTGCCGAGATTACAGGCGTGAGCCATTGCGCCCGGCCTCTTTCTACACTTTCATAATGTTCTCTTTATCAGCATTTTTTTCAGCAGTGTTGACAATCATTTCCATAGAGCACTGCATGTGATGAACCTTGAAGGCCCTTATGACTCCCTGATTTAGAGGCTGAACTAGAGATGTTGTGCTTGGGGACAAGTAGAACACTTTGACTTCAGTGTTGAACTGATGGGGTTCTGGATGGCCAGGGCATTGTCCAAGATCAAATGAATGTTAAAAGGCAGTCTCTTACTGGCAAGGTACTTCCTAACTTCAGGGACAAAGCATCAATGGAACTAGTCCAGAAAAAGGGTTCTTGTTGTCCAGGCCTTCTTGTTCTACAACCAAGAAACTGGCAGCTCATGTTTATCCTTTTCCTTCAAGGCCCAGGGGCTAGCAGCTTTATATATAAGGGCAGTCCTGATCATAAACCCAACTTATCTGCACAAACAACAGATTTAGCTTATCCCTTCCTGCCTTAAATCCCAATGCTTGCTGCTTTTCCTTACTAATGTCCTTTGTGACTCCCCCCACCCCCCAAGAATAGGGCACTTTTGTCTACATTTAAAACCTGTTCAGGCAGTTATCCTTTCTCCTCAATGATTTTCTTAATGGTGCCGGGGAACTCTTCTGCTGCCTCTTGATCAGCAGAGCTTGCTTCTGTTATGTTGACATTTTTAAAGCCAAATATCTTTCTAAAATTATCAAACCATCCTTTACTGGGATTATATTCTTCAGCTTTAGATCTTTTGCTTTCCTGTTCCTTTAACTTGTCATATAACGACTTCACTTCTTCTCAAATGGTATTAGAGTTGACAGGTATACCTTTCTTCCAGCAATCCACACCTATGTAAAAGCTGCATTTTCAACATGAGATAAAAAGGTATTTCACAAGAAAATACACAGTTTTTATGCCTGCTGGTGTAGCTGCAGTGATGGCTTCATAATTTTCTCTTTGTTTTTAATATTATTTAACTTTTGAGACAGGGTCTTGCTCTGTCTCCCTTGATGGAGTGCAGTGGCATGATATGGCTCACTGTGGTCTCCACCTACCAGGCTCAAGTGATCCTCCTGCCTCAGCCTCCCAAGTAACTGGGACTGTAGGTGTGCACCACCACACCTGGCTAATTTTAAAATTTTTTATAGAGACAGGGTCTCCCTATGTTACCCACACTGGTCTTGAACTCCTGGGCTCAAGCCATCTCCCCACCTCAGCCTCCCAAAGTGCTGGGATTACAGGCGTGAGCCACTGTAATGTGGACTCCTTTTCTTTTTCCTTTCTTTTCTTTTTTTTCTTTTCTTTTCTTTTCTTCTTTTCTTTTTCAATGGTCTTTACACTAGATTAATTTATCTTGAAATGGCGGGTAACTGCAGCTACTTACCTCAGTCTATGGTACATATCAAGCAATTCAACTTTTTCTTGTAATGTCATGACTTTTCTCTGCTTCTTCAAAGCACTTCCAGTATCACTAGTGGCACTTCATATGGGACCCATTGTGCTATTCCAGGTGTACAATATTGCACTAAACAATGAAAAAGATGCAAGAACTGAGAGATCATTTTGTATTGGAATATGCAATTTACTGGAGAAATCAACTGCTTGCAGTACTTGAGCTCATTGCAATAGCAACAGGAGGTGGTGGCTATAAAATTATTACAGTAGTACAGTGTGTACTGCAGTTAATTTTATCCAGTTGTGATTTAATACTGCATCTTTACATTTGTTTACATTTCTCTAAACTGCAAATGGCATCATGTATGATCTGTGTTGGTGTCTGTTTTGATAAATTTTAACTTTTTGTAATAGATTTGTGTATCTTTTAGGGTGGTAAATGATAAAAGGAACGATCTACATATATTTTATGCATTCATGACAAATCTAATTTTTCTCAAACTTTTTTCAATACTTCTAGGCTACACAGTTTGTCCGTGAGTTTTTTCAAGTTGTTGTAAATCTACCCCTAAATTTTCCAATGTATTTATTGAAAAATATCCATGTATAAGGTGACTCATTTAGTTCAAACTCATATTGTTCAAGGGTTAACTGTATAGAAGCTTAAAATATGTTAAATATCTTATAAGACTAGGAACCCTATTCTTCTTCTTTTTTAGATTTTTCTCTGGCTACCCTTACTAGTTTTATTCCATATGGATTTTATAATCAATCACTGATGGTCCATGAAAAAAAAGATAGCATGGGTGGGAGGATTAAATTTCTAAATTAAGTTTATAAATTAGCTTGTGAAGTAGTGACATTTTTATGATGTTGATTTTTTCCACCATGATCATGGTATATACATCAATTTGTTCAAGTGGACATTTGTGTCTTGCAGAAATGTTTTCAGTTTTCCTCCTATACATTTTGTACATTTCTTATTCAGTGCATGTCTAAATATTTTATTTTAATTTTTGCTATTATGAATGGAGTCTGCTCCTCCATTAGTTTTTCTCCCAACTGCTAATTTGTTATATATATGAAGACTATTGATTTCTCCATGTTAATTTTTTTTTTTTTTTAAGATGTAGTCTCATTCTGTCATCCAGGCTAGAGTGCAGTGGCATGATCTCAGCTCGCTGCAACCCTGCCTCCCGGTTTCATGTGATTTTCCTGCCTCAGCCTCCTGAGTATCTGGGATTACAGGCACGCACCACCATGCCTGGCTAATTTTTGTATTTTTAGTAGAGACGGGGTTTTACCATGTGGGTCAGGCTGGTCTCGAACTCCTGACCTCATGATTCACTCACCTTGGCCTCCCAAAGTGCTGGGATTACAGGTGTGAGCCACCACACCAGGCCTCTCCATGTTAATTTTATATTTTACTACTTATTGAATTATCAGGCAGGGCACAGTGGCTCACACTTGTAATCCCAGCATTTTGGGAGGCCAAAGCAGGTGGATCACTTGAGGCCAGGAGGAGTTTGAGACCAGTCTGACCAACATGGTGAAACCCCATCTCTACCAAAAATACAAAAACTAGCTGGGCATGCTGGCACATGCCTGTAATCCCAGCTACTCAGGAGGCTGAGGCAGGAGAATCACTTGAACCCAGGAGGCGGAGGTTGCAGTGAGCTAAGAAGGCACCATTGCACTCCAGCCTGGGCAACAGAGTGAGACTCCATCTCAAAAAAAAAAAAAATAAATCCTCATTGTTTATAGCAATTATTTCATATCCTTTTGCCTTCTCCCTATGTATAGTCTTATCACCTGCAAGTAGAGATTGGTGTTATCTCTTCCTCTCCAATTCTTCTGCCTCTTCTTGCTTTCTTTTGTCTAATTGCTTTGGTTAATATCCCCAGCATCATGTTCAACAGTCATGATATGTTGTTTTTTAATGTGCAGATGGTTTTTGTTTGCTAGTATTTTATTTAAGATTTTTCTATCTGGGTTTATGTAAGATCTATCTGTGATCAAGTGAGGTTAGTGGGGCCTGTTTTTAAACCCTTCTCTGGTACCCACAGCCTATGTGTGGGTGACAGTATGAACTGCAAAGATTCTCATGAAATTCACTTTGCATGTTCTTGCCTCCACACTGGCTGCTGCCACCACCTTCAAAATCTACCCCTCTGTGCTTCCTTTTGCCTCACCCTCTG